CTCTCTCTCTCTCTCTCTCTCTCTCTCTCTCTCTCTCTCTCTCTCTCTCTCCCTCTTTTTTTTTCTTGTACGGAAATTCACGGTCGCGCTGAAAAAATTGAGAGTGGACTCCTATATAGAATTGAAAATTGAAAAAAAGTTTACTAAAAACTTTCTCCGTTGCAATATGCACACGCATGTGCGTAAAATTGTAATTAGCTCACGTACAGCTAAACATTACAATCAGACCGTGAATTACTGAATAATACGATAATCGGCTTAATTAATTGTGGCAACTATGGAAAGTGGAAATGAGCTTAGAGTTAGGATTATGAAACCATTAGCTACTTGCAAAAGAGCTCATAATAACGAGCTATTTTTCTATTTATAGATAACATCATTTCAAATGAAATAAAAATGTAAGGGATACATAATTTTTATTATTTATAAATTGCATCTAATGTTATTAATTGCGGCAAACCGGCGTTATAAAAATGGAAATGACATAGTTTACAAAATCATTAGCTATTTGGAAAAAAGCTAATGACAGCAAGCACTTTTTTTTATTTTTATAACATAATTTATAACATAATTTAGATAACATAGTTTCAAATGAAAATAAATATAAAAATGTGAGGAATATATATTTTCTTATAAATCACAATTTATATTATTAATTAATTATTACATTTGTTGCATAAATTTTTATTAAATTTTATGAACTGTTTAATGTATATTATAACATTTCAAAAAATATTTTTTGTAATGATAATTATAAGGAAATATTATACCAGTCAAGAGACTTCGTTCACATTCATTGACACTGTGCTCTTCATTTTCATAACGAAAGAAGTACAGATGTAAATTGTTCTTGCATATCCAGTTGTTAAACAAATATGATAAACAATCGTGCGAAGTTTTGACAATAAAACGTGAAGATCCACGCAAGATAACATTTAATCTAGTGTTACCAAGATTAAAACATATTATATAGCGAAACTCACGGACGCGGGTTTACTTCTTCGTTATCACTTTCTATCATTGCTTTCGATTGTTAGCATCTGCGAGTTAATGTGTACCGTATACCGAATCTTACGTCACCGTAATATCACATGGTCACCCACTCATTGGAGTTGCCGTCAATCCCATAAGAGATGGAGAATCGCGAGATTTCACACTTTGCTTCCTTCCTTCCCTTCCTTTTCTCTTTTCTCTTTTGCAGACATTTGCACTCTTTGAAACGTATCGAGTATCTTCTATTGCCTCTTATCTCCCTTTCTTTTTCCATTTCAATTTCCACGAAAACTTGCAAGTATTTTCCATGATTTCTTCGCAAGTTATCTAAAAGTATTGAAAATTTTTACAGCGATATCATCTCGGATGGCAAAACTCGCAGCTGTTTCACTCAACATCCCGGCGGATCCTTCGAATTACGACGAACATCATCTTTGCATGCTTTGACCGACGTCCACTACGTCCACCCACGTGTGTCACAGGAGCTGTAATGTAGACTGTTATGCAAAGGAGCGAGCCGGCCGGCGAAGAAGCGATAGAGGGATGTATTCTTCCCCCTCTATTTAACACCACACAGCTGACTCCCTTTCGGGAGCCCTTCGATGCGACAGGCGTATTTCAATTGGCCGTTCAGGACGCGCATCCTCCTGCGGCGCAGGCGGAAGGATGATCGGAGAAGGGACACGCGAGTCGATCACGTTGATGTCTCCACGCAACTATCTACCTTTTTTTTTCTTCGACCATGTCGCGCGACCTACGCGATGTTACGCGATTCTCAAGGAGCGTATGTATTCCCTGACAAAAGTCCATCAGATCGAGGAGAATTCAAGGATCCTCGAAAATTCGCAAACTTTGCGGTCCAATTTCGAAGCGGGAGATTCGTTTTTTTTTTTTATATCCCTACTAAAAGCGTCGCGTGTTGCTCGACGATAATTATTTTAAATACCTCGTAAAACATGTTGGGCTGCACATTGCAGACCACAGAGAATGCTGAATGCTTCACTTATCTACAGCTTCATGTGGTTGTCACTCAAGGATTAACGATAAGTATTACGTGACGATAAAAACGCAGTCGCGATTAACGCCGTCGTAAAACTTGGCGCACGCCTTCTTCCCGTTTCTGATTTATACTCTTCTGTAAGTATCGTCGTAAATATAAATATAATTTTGTGCTAATCTTTAACTAATCTGTGAGCATTAATCTCTTTGAAATGGAAAAAAAAAAAGATTGTATTAACGTCAGACTATCATTCTTATAAGATCTGTTTTTACAGGACCTTGGCTAAAACGATAAGATTCTCGTAAGCGTATGTAGAACTCGTTCGCATCGTAATGACGGCATTCCAAGTTGGAGAACTCTTTCCAGAGTTTTGTACGTTAAAAAAAAAAAAAAAAAAAAAGAAAAAGAAATAAAATGAAATTTCCACGGCCTTTTCCACGACCTGTGGCCGGCGCGGAGAACTTTTGAAGCGCCTCGTCAATACGAGAGGGATGAATGCTTCATGCACCCCACGCGGATAATGTTAGCGTGACGCGTATAACCAGGCTGCGGAACCCTTTCGCGGAGAGAAAAGAGGCTTTTTCATAATTTACCGGTCCACTTACGTAGGTATCTTCTTTGTAGTTCTGCATTACATAAGCCCGCTTAGTTAGTATACGTAGCGCAACCTTGTACTACCCCACCTCGCGTCTTCGGGAGAATGTCTGGTGTCGTTTCTCTTTGAGTGGCACTTTCCAGGGAGCGTAATATAGTTCCCGAACGGAAAGGAAGAAGATTCCGTTCTTTCGATCGCACACTCGTCCCGAAGGAATTACCTTGGATATCCGCGCGGGATATTGGGTCATGGTGCTCCTTAACATTAGACACTGTTTTCTGTAGCTCGGAATGGAGAGGAAGTTCGGAACGTGTAATTAATTAGCCTCGAAAAGTCTCGTTTTGGCCATGCGCCATGTTCAACGTTAATTAGGCGATAATGGGTAATGAACGGCGATAGCGAGAGAGATAACGGCCGTTTCCTTTATTGTGACAACGACGACATTGTACATGTGCGACGATGTGGCCAATGAATGCTAATGTCTATAGATAGATCTTTATAGCAAACGTGTGCCTTCGCCTCGCCGGCGATGTACGTCCGGGTATATAAGGGTCATCGACATGTTCTCCTTTGCGAATATCGACGAAATCCGGGACGAGATCAGCCGGCTCGCGAAGAAATCGTCGACTCGCTCTCTTCCTAGAAGCTCTAGCGATGACGATCTGTCCGCGCTTATAGTAGCGTGTACGCTTATAGTAGCAGGCTATCGATCAAAAAGTTTCGCGGGCTCGGCAAAAGTCAGGAAACCCCGCGCGATTTCGCGACGATATCCTTCGAATTCTTGCGAGAACGAGAATCTACGCAAGAATCAGGCGGCGAAATATAAGAGACGTAGCAAAGGTATTTCCGTAATTTGAATTATATTGATCCACACTCGGACATAATTACTTTGTTAAAACAGGCAGAAAAATAAAACACACATTTTTAAAAACATCGTTCAACAAAACATCGCTCCTCGTTTGAAAGTTGAATACTTTTTAATGAGAATATCAAGAACATGGATTTCCAAGGCTGTCTGGATTATGTAAAGATCTGGAATAATTATCGAATACATTCTAAATGAAAAAGAGCACTCACTTGATATAATATCCGGAACGATCCACGACTTTGCTTATCATTCCTTGGAGATAATCAGGCTGTCGTCCTTGGGATTGGAGGGCATAGAGTGCTTCATAGGAAATCCACACCTGGGAATCATTGATTGACGACAGATGGATTTGCGATCCCACTCAGACATCATCAGCCGGCTTTCATCCGGATGTTGACTCTCGCATTTACCCGGATCGCATTTAAAAGCGATTTTTCGTCGCTTCCGATCAAGCGGACACATTAGAACTTCTAATCACCTCAAGTACCTTTCTCGTCACTCAAACGCTAATTAATTGAAATTAAAATTAATCAATCGGCATATAATTTTAATTAATCTTCTGCGATTTTAGCGATAAACTCCGGACGATGTTAATTTAAGTCAATTATAAACAACGTTTTTATATTGAGAGAGGCATAAGATATTTGTATTATTGATATAATCACCATCACGTCGCACTCGAGAACCGTCCCGCGTGTTACAGTTTGCTGTATGTAATTTCATGTTCATGACAACGACGACGACGACGACGACGTGACGCCGATGTATCGCGCGTGACGCGACGCGACGCGACACGGCAGACCGAGATGCGCCGGAGCCGGTGGGCAGCACGCGAGTGTGATCGCCGCGTCGAGGTATAACATAGCAGCGCCACGTGGTACGCCGAGGTCGTTACCGTGGGGGGTTGTCGTTGTTAGGATCAACGACGGCAATAGGCGACGGCGAGGGCGACGACGACCTCTGCGCCCGAAACTTCTGTTCCGCGGTTACGCCATGAGCTGGACGCTCGACCATACTGCGATCTGCAAAGACGCAGAAATTATGTATTTATGATTAATGAATACGTTCGTCAGAGAGAATTATAAGAAGAGAACATGGTTCTGCTGAAGGACTCTAAAAATAATTTTGTTGGAGTATGAAAATAAATTATACGAGACATTCAAATTGATTGGTAGAATATAAAGAAATTTTATCATCATGCGTTAAGACGTTCCTGTCTAATAATTTTGATGGCCCAACAAAATTATCCAGACCTAATCAAATTTTTAGGTATTTCAGTAAAATCTTTTCAGTGTTTGCCTTGGAATAAGATAATTAATTGAAATAAGAACAAATCTATTTTTTGTATTACCGTCGAAATCATCTCAGAGATTATCAAGAAAAGACGGTCTGTTAAAAATTAGAAGAATTAATAAAATTTTACAACTTCTTTAGCTTTAATAATTTAATAATTTAAATATTATTTTAATGAAATGTTAAATACAAGATAGTATTATATGTTTATTGTAGTTGACGATTGTATTAAATGTCTGATGTTTATATTATGTGTTTTTTATGTAGAGAAGTATATATATTCTGTTATTAGAAACATGAAAATATAAATCATACAATCTGATCCTTCTTCAAATTAGATTTTCTTCCGAGAATTTCAACTTTGAGCTAAATTTAACTTACGAACACGTAAAGCACAGTCCCTACATACGACGATCGATTGTCTTTTGTCTCAAATTGTTGTTCGAAGGTTCTTAACTATTTGCTCTAAACGTCTATCCTTCGCTATCGATCGAATAATTATCACAAAGTTGATACACTACTTCCGAGTTATTAGAGCTGAGCTATTCTACTATATTCGTTATTCGCGATTACTGCTTTGCTATCTACGGTATGACGCGCGGAGCTGCAAGAAGAAGAAGAAGAAGAAAAAGAAGAAGTATAAGAAGAAGAAGTATAAGATGAATAAAGAAAAAAAGGCAAACTCACATTGATGACTCACATTGATGAGAAATAAATTACACGCAAAAAGAGAGCGGAGTATAGTCGAAGCTATCTTGAGTATGAATTACGTTCTCATGGCAACTGATGGCGGGGAAGGTCAAGTGCAGGGGTGGAATCGTGTACGCGAGAACAACGACAAAGGGGGTTGCGATGTTGAACATAGCGTGACGTGACAACTTTGAACTGCGTTAACATTTAAATGTTTACTGCTTGCAGCTGATCGGCATGGCTGCGTCGAAAATATATAAGCGGATATATATAGGTACAGCTTCTGTCCTTCGCGATCGACGATTGATTGCTTGGAATTTTTTTTCAAAAAGGGGCTTTTAGGGGCTTTCAGGCATTTTTCGCAAATTGCACTGCTCTTTATCTTGTCTGACTATTGTGTATTATCGGTGGTCTATGCTTAATTTTACTCACGCGATAGACGCATACGTATCGACAAGTGTAATTTTACCTGCGTCGCTGACAGAGAGAGAGAGAGAGAGAGAGAGAGAGAGAGAGAGGAGGAGGAGGGGGGGAGGGGGGGAAAAAGGTAAAAGAAAGAAGAGTTTCCCCTTTTTACTCTTCTCCTTATTTTTCGTATGCCCCTCTCTCTCTCTCACGCAAGCATTCTTATTTTATAAGCTAGCGATATGTTACATACCATGTACCTTTTCATTATGCAATTTATATGTATTCGCAATCGCGAGGGAGAGAAATTCGCGTATCCTCACATGTTCCGTATAGACGACGACAAATTCTATCGATTCCCATTGTACATAACAAATATCGTATTTTCTTTGACTCAGCACGCCGCGGACCTCGCTGCGCCTTATCCAGAGCGAGATTATCGCCCGTTATCGTCGTCCCTTCGCGGTAGGCGCGAAACGCGATCCCGGTGAAACGTGATCGGCCACCTGTATCCTGTATCCCCGTATAGCATAATTCCTCCTATCGAACAAACAAAGGAACGGTTACTCGTCGGCAAACAGTTAACGACGGTCGGCTCCGTCATCAGGTTACTCCGGACTTATTTTTCTCACCTTAGATTACTTTGGGCTTATTTTTCTCACCTTTTGCCGTCGGGTCATCGCCGCGGGAAAAAAAACACACGTGTGAAAGACGCGGTTCCGATTCCCGAGGGAGGCGATCGTAGAAATCTCGTCGATGTGGCGCGACGTTTCGTTGAGAGAACGCGCGTGAGATCCCGCGGTCTGAGTGACGCGTTTTCCTTCCCCCTCGAGAAGACGGCACTTTGATGGTCCCAGACGAACGGTGATCATGTCGACCAAAACCATGGTACGAAGGACGAGGTCCGGTAACTTCGAGTACCGCGGCAACACCAGATTTCCAGCGGGCGTGTACACGATCCATCCACCGTCGGCGTGCGATCGCGTCATCGGAGACAGACCGATTCATCTGAAGAGGAGCAACGCGTACGAGGGGAAAGAGGTAACGTAGCTTACACCCTCTTCTCGAGGGTAATCGATCATAAAAGCGAAACGTAGATTTTCGTAAGTGACTTCCTCACTCGCGACTATATTAGATGTTAAAGGGAGGATTTAATTGCGTCTTCATTTTACAATCAGGTCGGGAGAATAAGGGATAAGAGCGGTACGAGGAAGTACCTAATTCCCTCAAAGGAGCCCACGATATATCCAAAGATCATGACGAGGAAGGAGTATGAGGCTCTGAGGGAACGCAGCCGTGTGATCACGAGCGAGGAGAGACAAGCGGCCGCGGAGGCCGCGGAGAAGGAGAGAGAGAGGCTGATGAAGGAGAGCTTGGCGCGGAAGGAGGCGATACGTATGATGGATATAAAGAAGAGCCGCGAAAAGGATCCGAGAACGAGGGAGATCGAGGAAGAGGCGAGAAGGAGGACGATGCATGTCCTCGAGCGAGCGTACAACATGCGTCTGGAGCAAGAAGAGGAAATACAGAAGTGTAATCGGCTTATCCTGGAAACCAAATGCCGCGCTATCCGTGACGCTCAAGTAAACTTACTGATTCTATGGGATCCCAAAGATGAAAACTTAATATCTCTGATCTTTGTACATTTAGCTATCTATTTGCAGATCGCGGAGAAGAAGTTGATAGAGAAGGAGCTTCTCGAGGAGGAAAAACGGTTGGACGAGATGATGGAGGACGAGAGGAGATGGGCCATCAAGGAAGAGTCGCGAAAGGAGCAGGAGGAGACAGCCAAGAGGCTGCAATTCGCCAAGATTCTGAAGGAGCAGATCGTAGAAAATGAAGAGCAACGGATCCTCGAGTTTGAGAGGAAACAGGAGGAAAGCCGTCTCATCAACTTAAACAATATCGCGTGGCAGCAAGACGAGATCGAAAAGCTGCGCGATAAAGAGGCTGAGAACGCTAAGGTGCGGCAGGAACTTGCGGAAGGAAACGAACAATTGAAACATTTCAAGGCTATGGAACAGGAGGAGAATAGAATTATAGATTTAAGGTATATATTTTACAGGAGTTTTCTTGTCTCTTCAATTTTTTCCTGAAAAAGGAAAAAGATATGTTTATTAAATCCAACTTTTCAGGATACAAAATTATCACCGATTGAAAGAGGAAAGGGAGGCTAAAAAGGCGGAGGAGCAGAAATTAGAGAAATTAAAAAGGGAACGAGAAAAAGCTAGAGTGGCGATGCGAACGGTGCAGGCGTATGAGTTTCAGGTATTAAATATCGAACTTGAAGAGTTTACGACATAAATATACTGGGAAAACACGTTAAACAGCGCATAGTTAGCGCATAAGGAATTTTATACACGGTACAACGTAAGATTAATTTTTTCACTAATGCAAATGCTAATAATTTGCGTGATAAATTATATCGCACACATATTGGCGTATCGCTCTATATGCTTCTATAATTATCTACATCCTTGCGTGTCTCAACTATCTGTTGTCGAGGGTCAATGAATCCATGAGCGCCACGTCAGGCCTCTCTCTTTTTACAATGTGGGTATTCTCCTTTTGAAATTACGTTCCGCGGCTTTTTACTATTTCTGTTTAATAGGAAATTAAGTATATTACAGTCTATGTTATCGCTAAAATGTTCCTTTGACAATTAAAATAATTAATGCATGTCGAATGTTCCTATTTCTGATAACAGTTATTTTTGGTGCGTATTTGTTATGTCTCACTCACACACACACACACACACACACACACACACGCGCGCGCGCGCGCGCGCGCGCGTTACTTTTTAGTTGATATATTTTAAAGAAACATTTAATTAAAAGATTATTATAATTATAGAAAAATCAAGATGATTTATATAAATGATTATATAAATTTCTAGGCGCAAATTGACGAGATCAATGCAGCTCGGGTTCAGGAAGAAGTGGAACGGGAATGGAGACAAAAAGAAAAGGAAGAAGCTTTGAAAAAATTAGAGGCTCAAAGGATTCTTCAGAAAGAAAGAGAGGAACAAATAAACAATAAGCAGATAATGCAGGCCATTGAAATCGAGCGAAACAGACGAGAATTCGAGAAGATTGTACGCGTGCAACGAGCAGCTTTTTGTAGGGAAAAGAAGGAACTCGAGCAAAAACAACAACAGGCTCTTATTCATCGTAGTGAAATATTAAAACAAGTTAGTATTGTTTTATCAAAAAAAATGTTACAACAATATATATATTGCTATATATCGTCGTCTTATTTTGTTTGGATAGGTAAATAAAAAGGAACGAGAACGCATTGTTGAACGACAAAAGGTGTTCGAAGAAGGTCTGGCGATACGTGCAGAGGCTGCGACGCGAAAGAAGAAATTGCAAGATGCGATGGAACGAAAATGCCAAGAAATGAGAGAGAACAAAGTTCCCGATATTTACATTAATGAAGTAAAACGAATGATTGAAAATATTCAATGAATTACGTGACCAGGTTAAGAAATAAAATTGAGAGCTTCGAGTCCACTTTTAAAAATGACAAACTACGTACTTCATGAATATCTTTGGTTTCATTGTATTTATACAAACATGACTATGAGAAACGAAAGTAATAAAAAAGTTCTAATCTATTACATTCTCATTGCTGCTTGAAATTTTTACATAGATATATACAAGTAGAGAATTGTTGCAGTCATTTTTTCATTTAAGTTATAACAATTCTCCATTAATTCACATCACTTCCATATCATTAAAACATTCGGATCGCGCTCTATAACATCTTCAATTTGCGCGGCCGATTGGCCTGTGCTACAACATATTTCATCGAGGCTGTACGTTCCTGTGAAATACTTATAAATTGGATTGTTTTTCGCTTCTTCGTTGCATGATGCGCCGGGGAGAAGTACAGGATACTATAAAATGGAAAATTAATATCTTTATACTAAAAATATACAATATACAAAAACTACTCACATTATATACCCTTCTAATAAGTCCTTCGATTAAACCAAATTGTACCAGTCTTCTTTCATTTATTCTTAAATTTTGTGGGTTGAGACGTTGACATAAATCCTTCATGCTAACGCCGTAAGTCATACTTGAATACATACGGTATATATCTCTAAAATACGCAGGCTGCCTAGCTGTGAGAAAAGCCATTCTGTAAACTTCGTTGCGTACTTAAAATATAAAATGTTCGAAGAATCACTCACTTGACTTCGAAGCATATGCTATACATCGTTCCTGTAATTTTATATCGTCTGGCAATTTCCTTAATTTCGGTGTAACGGCGTAAACGTTACTATATTGAAATATCGGGATCAAAGTTACGACCCCATAATATCTGCGAAGACAAAAAAGTATTTCTTACAATAATCAATTAAGGAAACGGGATTTTTTGTGAAATATCTCGTACACGAGATTTTGTACACAGCTTTTGACTAAATTATTCTCCACGTCGGCCTCAGCCGCTATGCGCGCCACGTGATTGAAGCCGTCGATATAAGGCAATACTTGTTGTGTGGTCAAATCCCATTGATCGCTCTGAAAAGTTTCCCTGTCTTCAAGAAATATTGGTACCTGATGATCAAGAACTGGCTTTGGTTCAGGCGTTAATCTCACAACCTTCAAATGAGATGTCATAGTCCCTTCTAACAAAATGTTACATGTAACATAAGAGTTGCTTTAATCAAAAATTATATTTATATAAAAATTTACCAGTCAGAGTACACATCTTGTGTAGATTCAAATCTTGCATGACTTGTGCGAGCATCTCTGCCAGTCTGGTTTTGTCATCTGAGGCAGATAGAAAGCAATTTTCTATTTCCAAAGCCATCTGATAATCACATGGAAATTACAACGTATACATTGCTATATTTCCAGAATATCAAAAGCTCAAAGAAATCTTGAAAATGAAAAATTATTACCAAAAAATCTGACATCTTCTTAACTACTGGCTCATAATGGACGGTACGAGCGTTTGCATCACAGACAAAACACAAATTGAAATAGAATGCATTTCTTGCATACTTTTTATCATCAATCTTCACAGGGAATCCAAGAATTTTATAGTCCTTCAGTGTGCTAGAAGAGAAAATTCTTAGACAAGACACAAGAGAATTAACCAATTAAGTTCTGTAATTTCAAATATAAGCTTAAACTTACATTGTAATGGTGCTTCTTTGTAACTGTGCCTTTGGTATAATATAAACACTGACATTGTCGAAGATGTCCTTGGATATGAAATTATCAGGCACCTATAGAGTAACATAATTTCCATAAGTTGTAAATATAGAGAGAATAAATCATTTTTTGATATTTTCATAATGCCATTACCTGGCATGTAATTTTCGGCCCAGCTATATGATGAAATTCAGCAAAGAATATGCATCTAATCGGGTCCTCTTGTTCCTTATCTTCTTGTTCGTTTTCCAATGAACTGGATGCCATTGTATTTTCTTGTCTCTTTACTAGGATCGTGAAATCTCATTCACGGATAATTTGTTACAATGTCGTATTCTTTAAAATATTAAGCAAAAAAATCATCATTAGCATGCACGAATGTCAATCACGGTTATAAAAACGAGATGCATGTTATCAGCTGATTATTTTTTCCCAACGAATATCATGCTTACATTTTTCTTCCTACCTACTTAAAACTATATGCAGTCGCAACTTTGTTTATTTTTAATTTTCACTTATTCCAAGTTACTCTCTTCCTCCAAACTAAAATCATTCTCCTACCTCCACTATTATCTGTTGTCACTGAGCTCCCTTTTTCGCGCATGCGCGGTAAGGATAATATCAGTGCAGTATCAAGATACAGATTAAAAAATGTATCATTAATTGCCTCCATCAAGTTATTTAAAAATTTAACGTTTTTTTTCTTTTTTGGATGGCTCCTTGTTCTATGTTAATTTTTAATTTATCAATTTATTAATATTAATATATTTCTATTTACTTACACATATTTACCTATCTATTCTCTCTTCTATTTTATTCTTGCGCCCGCAATTTAATATTTCGCCTCTGGCTTCTCTGCCATGTTAATGTGCATGCGCAGAAAAGGGAGCATTGCTATCAGCTGTTACCACCATCAACTTTTGCTGCCCTCTATCGATTCTAAACACGTGTGAGCGAACGTGCAAAGCACACGTGCTGATGCATGCGAAGTATCAGGACTGCCGAGCAACAAGCTATGTTAAAGGAATATTTTGTATATACATCTTTTTTTTTAATTCAGTGATCGAGATGAGTAAAAGAAAACTCGATGATGAGAATGACGCTGCTCCGGCAAACGATAAGATCACGAAGATCTTCTCTTGCTTCAAATCAGACACTGGTGAAGTTTTATCCGATGGCGCGGTGGAACTGCCGATCGACACCAACGTGGATAAGCTGCAGGAGCTCTGCAATGCTCTGCTCCAAAATGAGATCCCGTTGCCTCTGGCGTTCTATATAAATAATGTGGAAGTCACGGATGATTTGAGGAAGCACATCGGCAAGGATTTTAAAATCAGCGAAAACGTCGTAGAGATTATATATCAGCCACAAGCAGTGTTTAAAGTCAGGGCTGTCACGAGATGCACCGGGTCCTTGGAAGGTTGCTTGACAATTCAGTATAGATTTCCATATCGAATAAAACGAATATTTCATATAAACACTTTCCATCTTTATCAGGTCACAAGGAAGCCGTCATATCTGTTGCATTTTCACCAGACGGCAAGCATCTAGCCAGTGGTTCTGGTGATACAACAGTCAGACTATGGGATATCTATACACAAACGCCAGAGTACACGTGCGAGGGGCATAGACATTGGGTTTTATGTATTTCCTGGTCACCTTGTGGCACCAAGCTTGCCTCTGCATGTAAAAATGGACTTATATATCTATGGGATCCCAATACTGGCAAACAAATCGGTAGAGATTTAATAATGATATTCTTTTTGTTGAATGTTCATTAATTTCAAGCAAAATTTTACATTATTCTGATATTAATTATATAGGAAAGGCTATGGCGGGACACAAAATGTGGGTGACATCTCTATGCTGGGAGCCTTATCACAAGAATCCAGAGTGCCTATATTTAGCAAGTTCATCTAAGGACAGCGACGTACGAATTTGGGACACAAAAAGAGCACAAACCAGTCGAATCTTAGCTGGTCACACGAAAAGTGTGACCTGTGTCAAATGGGGTGGTAGCGGTCTTATTTATTCCGCTTCTCAAGACAGGACTATCAAAGTGTGGAGAGCGGAAGATGTATGTATATCAGTTAAAATTTCATAAACATCCAGCTGATCAAGTCATTTTCAACTGATTAAATTTATTTCAGGGTGTGTTATGTAGAACTTTAGAAGGCCATGCTCATTGGGTGAACACTTTGGCCCTAAATGTTGATTACGCGCTCAGGACTGGGCCTTTCCAATTAGGATCAACTAAGATCAAGACAAATACACTGGAATATGCAAGAAATCAATACGAGTCTGTAGGCGAGGAGAGGCTTGTGTCCGGATCTGATGACTTCACATTGTTCCTATGGAAGCCAGAAAAAGAGAAGAAACCTATCGGTACGTTGTGCGATTTTAAACCATAATTAAATCGACTATAAAAAAGTGCAACGTGAAGATATCTTTCAGCAAGAATGACGGGTCATCAGCAACTTATCAACGACGTCAAGTTCTCTCCGGATGGCCGCACAATTGCATCCGCGTCCTTCGATAAATCTATTAAATTATGGGAATCCAAAACCGGGACGTATATCGCGTCACTGAGAGGTCACGTCCAAGCGGTTTACTCGATAGCGTGGAGTGCTGACTCTCGTTTGTTGGTCAGCGGTAGCGCAGATTCAACTTTAAAAGGTAAACATACCGTCGAGAAAACTTACTAGTTTAGATAATTAAAAATAAAATGCTTTCTTCCAGTTTGGGATATGAAAACTCACAAATTAGACCAAGATCTACCCGGTCACGCGGACGAAGTTTATGCGGTCGACTGGTCACCTGATGGTGTGCGCGTCGCCTCAGGTGGAAAAGACAAAGTTTTGCGACTATGGCAAAATTGAATATAAATTTAAATAAATAAATTTATAAAAAAAAACTAGACGTTTTCATTATTTATTTTTCAAATAAATTATTTTACATCAATTGATAATTTTGATTATATTAAAGAGTGAACTGAGGACTCCGATTTTCAGAAAAAAAAGAAAAAACAATTTTACAATATAAATGTAATTATCTCGGAAAGTTTAATCCCTGTTAAATTAAAAATAATAAATCAAATATTGGAAATAATTCGAATTCGAAAATTTTTCGATCATACGAAAATTTAAGGAAAATTTATTATTTTACTATTATAAAATATATTTGTGGTATAAAAAAAAAAGTTACTTCAATCGAATAATTACGCGAATTTCTGCTGCTTCGTTGATAGCATCCTCTCGCGAAATGCGAATGTACTGCGCATGCGACTGCGCACTCTAGATTTTGCGAAGCTGCCCGGAGGGTTCACTGGACAACTGGACGATTGATGATCGAAAATGACGTCTGACAAGTGATGATCTAACCTCTCTCGTTTTATATATTTTATATTGCATTTATCGCGGTGCAATATCCCTTATTAAGGCTACCATGGTAAGTGAACTCGATGTTTCTCGCGACAGAATTGTGACACGCCTGCGTCTCATTCGTTTCGTATATCACGCCAAGTTTCTCAAACGTATGAAGATGGAGATATCTGTTAAGGACACGCAAACGTTTCCAGGACGACGATGTAGCCGCTCTGCAGAATCTGGAACAACTTATGACCGAGTTCTTCTCCCCGGAAACGACGAATGAAAGGAAACGCACGATCGAGCGCACCTTTCAAGAGTTTGCCGGGCAGATTGACTCCTGGAAACCATGCCTACACTTCTTGTCGTCTACAAGCAACCATTACGTCAGCATGTTTGCCTTGTCTACCTTGGAGGTAATCGCACGGCTCAGCCTTGACTGATAGGATTGCAATGCTTTTCTTTATTACAACGTGACATCTCTCAGTCTGAATTATTCAACAGACAACTATCAGCAGGCGATGGCCCATTCTCCCATGGGAAGACAGGGCTCTTACAAGATCCACTTTGTACACACTATCGCTCGAAAGAGACGTCGCGTCTTTTGTAAGAAACAAAGTAGTAAAACTGGTGGTAGACATAGCAAGACATGACTGGCCACATTTCTATCCAGATTTTTATTCCAATATTTTACAGGTTTGTGAGCAGAGAACTACATATGTTAAGTGTATTTTATATGTGTATTATATATTTAATTGCATAACATTCCACTTTTATAAAATAGCTGTTAAGCCATAAGCACACAAGACTGCTGGGACTCGTGTATTTAAGAACAGCTTCAGAAGAACTTGCCACACCAAGAGAGGATTTACCAATGCATAGGAAAAGCGAGTTGTTCAGATTATTAAGTGCACAAGTGCCTCTGACTTTAGATACACTTACAGGTATATATTATTAGGGTTAAAACCATACACTTATATAGCCAATTGTGAATAATTTTGTAATTCACTATTTATTGACAGTTCTTCTGAAAGAGACTACGAAATTGCAAAGTCGTTCTGGGACTGTGACGCCACCTCCATCACCTACCAGTGGACAAAGTCTCGCGCCAGCACGTGCAATGTTGGATGTTGAAGGATTAGCGACGGGCACTAGCGAGGTCTGCACGGCTACTCTTGAAGTTTTGGCACATCTCTTTAGTTGGATAGATGTATCGGCCAACATTTCCAGTAATTTATTGGACGCCATTTTTTCATGTGCCAAGTACCATGATGCAATGGTAGGATTTTATTTCCGCTTTAGAATGTATGATAATGAAGAGGACAAACAATGCATTTACAAGTATTTCTACAGAATGGCAAGCAAATTGAAATGGCCGTTCAAGCTTTGACTACTGTCAACGAGCTTTTATACAGACCGCTTTGTTCACCCGACGCAACCGATACATTGTTACTGGAGATATTTCAGAATGGCGTTGGCTTATTTCAGTTGATGGAACGTTTGGATTCAGTAGAGGAGAGGTAAGAAGCTATCGCGTTTACAAAGGGTTTTGTCATGTTCTCGTGACAGCATAAAAGCATTTTTTCAGTTACATGGAGAAAATGACGGAGTTTTTACAATTATTTATAACGAATCATATGAAAAGGATGGAATCAAGTTCAAAGTTTCCAGTAAACACATTACTGGAAGTACTGTGCCATCATACATTCCAGCAAGCTTCTACCGTGAATGGGTACTTGCGTTGCCTAGATGTCTGGACTACTCTTTTGGAGAGCACTCAGTCGCGATACTCCGCTGTCGCCTTAGCCCTCGCTGAACGGATTTTACAAAAAATGAGTTTTAAATTTAACGCACGGGTATTGAGGGATCTTGACACAGAAAGTTTAGATGAGAATGTAAGTGTAATCATGGATTATAAGTATAAATGTAGACATTTAATGTTTAATATAGGCATTTAAGATAATGCCTACATAAAATCTTTATAATTTTTATTTTCAGGAAGAGACAGAATGGCAGCATTTTTTGAGATGCAATATAGAATGTTTGGCAAAAATTGCTGATATTTCACCTATTCCAATATTTACATTATTGGTAATTTCTAATTGGCTGCTATCTATTGTCTTATCATTATTATTAAAATATTAATAATATTGGATATTTTTTTCAGTATCGTTCGTGGAGAGAAGAGTTAATCATATTTGGTGAACTAGGCGCGGCAGTTGTCAATGGCCGAGTCATTTTATTAAATGATACGGAAGCATCGAATGTGCACGCGCATCTGAGAGATCTCGCGTCAACTACACAAGCTTTAACTAGGCTATATTCACTTTTCATTGGTAGGTAGCCGAACGATTTTATCAATTTTTGATTGCACAGATAATAATAATTATTGTGTCAACAGGAGACCAAACAAATATCGATCAAGCGTTAGCCGAGGAAGTTATATCGCAAACTTTGGATGCATGTATGTTCGCGAGAGATAATCAGCTGTATAAAGCGGCGATTCAACCAGCCGCTATCGTAATAGATCTTATAGAGGTGTAAGTTCTTGACTATCTCATGTTTTTAAGAATGCAAAAGCGATCAATAATATGCAATATGACGTGTAGATACTTGTTATATATTGATTTGTGCTATTAGACATTCACAGCTTTTGGCATCTCTTCAAGCATGGTGTCATTGGATAGCCAGACGAACGGAGAAGGCTAAGGAGACACTTTGTCAACGTTGCATCGATTCGTGTATCTGGGCAACGACATATAACGCGTCTTGCGACCATTTACCTCCTCCAAATCTCATCCATTCCGCCATTCACCTCTTTCAAAGTATCACCGCCATTTTAAAACCCATCTTATGGGACCAACTGACTTTCAGGAATCTAATTTCCATAGGCACGTATCCATACTTGAAACCGGATACGATTAAGGTTTTGCGTAGGGCATTGATAAATGGGATTATATTACCACCCGGTGATGCAGCGATGAGGCAAAGGTTGTTAGGTAAATAGATCATTATGTTGACTAAATCCATGTCTGTTGAATCATCCTTTTTTTAACAAAAATATATATAAATATTTTGCGTTTAGGTACTATGATATTGGCTCTCTCAGCGCCTTTGGGTATGCAAGGACAACCAGTGCCTTCAGAATCAACAATTTCAATTACGATAATGCCATTGACTCAACTGTTAGAAGACTGCGCATCATCGTCTACAACTATTAAAAAGATGCTGCACTCGTGTCTAGAATCAATCATAAATAGGACATTAGAGTTATTGTCGTATGTGATAAGATGCCAAAGTATATGTGAAGTGTTACTTAGCTTTCTACACTCGGCATTTTCAGTATTACAACAACAATTGGGTCCTGAATTTATGCAAAATGCAGTTCAAGGCATGTTGCAACTTTATACCAGGTTTGTACAAAACTGTTTTTGAGGCATAACTGTTTACCTTTCAAAATATCAAACAATATTCAAATAACATTCAAAAATTAAGTATGGATAGAGTTTAGGATCAAAAATAAAAATGTTCCGTTAATAAATAACTTGTATGTTATGTAGATTTAATGAAAAAATTATATTGCGATTTGAGGATTAAAATACCGGATGGTTTTAACAAAACGTTAATTCACAGAGAAAATATTTCTGCTGGTCCTGCGCTGGACCAGTTGCTGGAAATTTTGATACTCGTCGTATCAGCACCCAGCAATGCATTTAAAGCATTCGTACCTTCGGTAACGAATCTATGTTTAGGTCAAGTATGGCCTGCTGTTGGGAGCAACCTAAGTGCCCATCCAGACACGACATTAGTTTTATTAAAACTTTTTCATAGGTAATATAATATGATAGCATATATATCCTATTTACATTTAAAAATTATACTTTTTACAAAATTATTTTTCAGTATTCTTATGCATCGTTGGCAATATTTCTATAATACCTCGGTATTGCGGACTCTTGGACATCCTGAAGAAGACGAGCCTGTTAAACATAAAGAAGAATTAGTAGCAATTTTAGAAGCGTTTGGTCAAGCTCTGCTTCAATCAGATGTCAATATATTCCGACAAAGCTTGCAAAGTCTCGAGCAGTTAAATATTAGATGGCGACTTTATCAACGTGCCGTATTCAAGGTTCATCTTCTTGAGAGATTTCTGATGGCATTGTTCACAGTTTTATTTCAACAGTAGGTATCAACATCATTCTTGGTGATACTTATATTAATGATATTCAATTCATTAACGATTCATTTATACGCTCATGTTTGATTTACAGATCTCACAATTTATTGGCGGATGAGATAGCCGCGGCCATTCACAGTCTAGCATCTGTTAACATTGGATGGTTTTTCAGCCACTTTTTGCCAACGTTTTTGGCAACTTGTGAAGGCGTAGACGATATGCAGAGAGCCACTTTACTGGGAAATTTCGACAAATCCACGGTATGCTGAATTCTTGACAATCTTTGATTTAAAAGTGTAATATGCATAGTGTAGTATGCATAGCATGCAATAGAATCATTTAAATTATTTGCAATAAATCGTTTCATTTTAGGATCAACCGACTTTGACTAGATCAGTGCTACAGCTCATTTCAGACTTAAGATGTTACCAACTTTGCAGACCAGGCTGAAGCGCGAGTTTGCGGCCACGAAAATATTCCATATACACATAAGACTTCTACAATGGCATTTAAATGAAATCAACATTTCCACCGAATCTCTCCTATGAGTGCCTCTAAATACAGATACGAGAGACGTTAACCATAATGAAACGGAAAAAAGACAAACCTTTTATAAATATTTACCATTCTGTGTATACCACTGCCGCATCATCCTTTTATGATATAATGTTGTAAATGTTATTACAAATAAAACGCGTCTTTTTATATGTCTATAATTGCCTATATTTTACACAGAGAAAAATTTTATTTTGCTCCGAGTTTTACAGAAATATACGTTTCTGATATACGGATGAAAACACGAATAGAAAATATATTTACTGCTTATCATAGAGACTTTTAAGCGAAAAGCTAATAACACATCATTTATTATTTGTCATTAATGTTGTGTTCAGATATCTTTATGGTCTTATCTCTCTTCTTCTCTCCCTCTTTATCTTTCTTTCGATAAAGAGTACCATTCTGATAACCCAAGCTATGTATTTATTTCGTGCTCGGGGATTCGATTAGTCAATCACAAACTGCTGACAATGTCACATTTATTATTGAGAAAAAGTGGTAATTACATTTTTCAATTCCAAATGACAAGGAATTTAGTAACCGACCCAAAATATGGATTTTTAAAACAATTAAGTATTAATGCAGAGAATCCTGGACTTTACGATGGAAGATGGGGTGGATCTGGCAAGGTACGTGACGTTGATCTCGTCTTATCGAGGTAGATAATGAGTTGATACATTATACAAGAGGAAATCTTAAATGAAACGTTAAACAATATATGCCGCTCTCAAAATAACTACGTACAGTTAACTGAATTTTATTAAACACAGTTAGTAGAATCGATATCGCCGGCGACCGGCAAAGTGATAGCGAAGGTTCGAGAATCCACACCGCAAGAAGCAAGCAATGCTATAACAGAAGCACGTAAAGCATGGCCACAATGGGCATCTATTCCAATGCCGGCCAGGGGAGATATTGTACGACAGATAGGAGATGAGCTCAGGAGAAATTTGGAACCGTTGGGACGCTTAGTATCTTTGGAAATGGGTGATTTGTCGTTTCAAGATTTTATTCGCTGTAATAGCTTGCAATTACAGCGCATCGAAATATTTATGATATAAATCTCTCCCTATAATTAATACAAAATGTATCATGCTGCAGGAAAAATACTACCAGAAGGCATAGGCGAAGTCCAGGAATTCATTGATATATGCGATTACGCGGTCGGCTTGTCGCGAACATTACCAGGCAGTTTATTCCCGTCGGAGAGGAAGAACCACGCGCTTTTGGAAAAATGGAATCCTTTAGGAGTGGTCGGCGTTATCTCAGCATTTAATTTTCCCATAGCGGTGAATATAATTTTTAGGGAATCTCGCTATCATTCCGCTTTATGAAGTTAATTTGTCGATTCTCCGATACATCTTAAGGTATATGGCTGGAACAGCGCTATCGCCATGGTCTGTGGTAACACCATCGTCTGGAAAGAGGCGTCGAGCACACCCTTAGTAGCAATCGCGACCACCAAAATAATCGCAAGTGTCTTGGAGCGTAACGGTATCCCGGGTTCTGTTGCATCTTTGATTACAGGTGGACCAGACGTCGGCGAGACTCTGGTGAATGACAAACGGTCAGTTCACTTCTAGATACACTGAATTATATCATAATACTTTGTATTGAAGAAATTGGTAACGATGATTGTTATTAGGGTACCTCTCATCTCGTTTACCGGTAGTACGAACGTAGGGAGACAAGTGGCTCTCAAAGTTCAGCAAAGATTCGGAAGATCTTTGCTGGAGCTCGGCGGTAATAATGCATTGATCGGTACGTATCTTCTTAAAATAATTAATTTCACAACATGTTGATGTTTTCGATGTAATTATTTTTTTTCCGTTGACAGTCGCACAGGATGCAGATTTAGAAATGGCAGTGAGGGCAGCGGTCTTCTCGTGTGTTGGAACAGCTGGACAAAGGTGTACTACTACTAGAAGATTAATATTGCACAAAAAGATAAGAAACGAATTCCTAGGTGAGTGTACAAATATGAATATAGAGAAATATTTCATTCTCATATATTTTCTATATATTTTCAGGAAAATTGAAAACAGCATACAAGAGCATATTAGAAAGAATTGGAGACCCTTTAAATGATGGTGTGTTGTACGGACCGTTACATAATCAGCCAGCAGTTGATGCATATAAAGTATGTTCATTAGCTCTCATAATTAATAATATTTTTAAACGAAGTATTAAAGTCATTAATTGAAAACCTACTTTTTAATACATATTGAAGAAAGAAAATCTTTTGATTTGAGAATCTTTTGATTAACACTTTTCGTCATAGGCAGCGATCCGGAAAGCTGTAGAAGCAGGCGGCACGATAGAATTCGGTGGAAAGCAAATAGAGCGACCCGGTTTCTACGTCGAACCAACAATCATTTCGGGTCTACCGGCCACAGCCGAGGTAGTACAGCAGGAAACTTTCGCTCCGATTGTTTACATCCTGGAGACGAATTCTATGGAGGAAGCTATCGATCTTAACAACGGCGTGGAGCAAGGACTGAGCAGTAGTCTCTTTACTAAAAGTATCGGAAATGTATTTCAGGTAAAATTGTAAAATCAACTAATGTTAGCAGATGCGCTGCGACGTTATGCGAGTTAATTTATACATCAATTATAAAATCATTAAATTTCATTCATCATACAGTGGATTGGTCCTCACGGATCGGATTGTGGAATAGTCAATGTCAACATCGGCACCAGTGGTGCCGAAATAGGCGGTGCGTTCGGAGGTGAAAAGGCCACGGGTGGAGGCCGGGAAAGCGGAAGTGATGCATGGAAACACTACATGCGCCGCGCGACCATCACGATCAATTACGGAAACGAGCTTCCTCTGGCACAGGGCATTAAGTTCGAATAAAGTTCAACAGACATGTCCCTCGAAAAAGAATCAACGCTTTAATTCAAACCGTATAAAATCCACTTGAATATCGACGGACGCCTTCTTATGAAATTTGTAAGCTCTCGGCAGGTCATATCTAAGCTCGGCTATCACTGTCCCTTTCGCGCCGAGCTGCGACGCCTTCGATAGGACATAATCCCGCGTGGTGCTCTTATGCAGCGAGTAAACTGCATTGGACGAAAGCTTGAGAGCAGCTTCCAAAAATTTCATATCGACGCCGGCATTGTTCTTAGTCCCGAAAGGTGGATTCATTATAATAGTATCAAAGTACTTCTCAAATTTTCCTGTAATATAATATGTATCTATTATGTATCTGAATCTGCAATAATAAAATATATATACATGTGAATATACCTGGCAAAAATCGCAATATGTCACACTGCACGATTTCAACAAAGAGTTCTATATCATTGCAATTTCTGTATTGTATGTCAACTGCGTCAGAATCTATCTCGAATCCAACCACATATTCGGCACCAAGCATCTTAGCACCCAATGACAATATGCCACATCCAGAACCTAGATCAGCTATGCTTTTACCTTCTATGTCATCGAACTGGGATTGAGCGGTGTACAACATATGTGAAGCGATATGCGCACTTGTAGCATATTGTTCAAGCAAGATTTTTGGATTTTCAAATACATCTAATTGTTGCAGATATTCTTCTAACTGACGAAGTCGAAGTCCAGCCATCCTTTATTAGAAGACCATCTACTGTGTTTGCACCACAGAATCTCGTCCAACAAATATTTATTAAAAAAAAAAAAAACAATCTAATCTTTTGATGAATAAGATCAAAGAGTTAACGTTATTGCTGTATAGTCCTTAGTAACATTTAATTATTTATATAAATCTGCATATCTTTCAGAAAAGGTAATCTAAAAGATAACTCATTTGTTATCAAATCTTGGGAGAACCGGTAATATTAAATTCCCGAAGGAAGAGTCTTGCGTAACGAAGTAGCCGAATGAAGCAGCGTGTGCGTTATGCAAGGCCGCCCTTTGAGATGCACTCATCGCTACACCATCGTTAGATTGTATTGAAGCCTATAATAAGAAACATAATATGATAACGTAAAACAAACAAAATAATTTTTAATCATCGTTAATTCTGGACATACAATATTTGATGCAGAACCAGTCGACGAGACTCCCAACGACGTGTTTAAGGATGGCGCGACTCCCTGCTTTAATAGCATCTGCTTCTTCAACTGTAGCTCCTCTAGGATCTTTCTATTCTGCAATTCTAAGAATAATAAAAATAAACAAAATCGTCTGCAAAATCTGATATGAAAAATATGAGATGCGAAGCTATCGAAGAATTACCTCTTGAGTTAGATTGTGAAAAAGCCATCAAATTTACATGAATAATTCGTCCGTATTCGAGTCAACAATCGCGACAGATGCGTACAAACGGTATGGTACAGGTTATATTGTTATTTATTAAACTTAACCTTATCGGATGACCTAAAAAAAAAAAACTTATCACGCAAGCGCTTATCACAATGATGCGAGATTCGGAGAGCTGTCACTAGAAATTAGGTCGCCGGCGATAAATATCATCGATCGCTCGAATGCTGCGCAATTTGATAAAGCGTCGATAGAGGTCGTCAGTGTTCGTTCAAACGTATGGCGACTCAGCGAAGCGTCAGCAGAGGTCACCGGCGTTGCAAAAAGTCGGAGATTCCCGAGATTCGGCGAAATTCAACGGGCGACGGACGGGTGTCGCGCATGCGCCGGAAGTGCGCAGACGCCACCTTGCGGGGGCCAGTCCGATCGCAGAAGTGATCCCGAGGTGTTCACCGATAGTCGGCGGTCGTCCCGGTTTTCACGCGATAAATTCTCGTCGTCGCTCCCGAGCCAGGCAGACGGTCCCGCGGTCACTGCTACTCCGTGAAACAGACGTGAGTATCCGCGCGGGAGGCTTGACCGTCCCAAGGATGGCAGGACGTGCCGAGGGAGATTCCCAGGGGCGCGGAATCTCGAGGGGGCGAGGGGGGGCGTCGAAAGCGGGGCCGGTGGCGAGAGAGAAGCGACGGCGGTGGCGACGACGACGACGACGACGGCGACGGTGGCGGTGGTGGCGGTTGCACACGACGGGTGACGGGTTCTGGCAAAATGGCCGTGCGTGATCTACAACAAACGGTCATCTCGCATATCGCCGCGGCGTTTGGTATGCTCGATCTCGACGTCGACACGAGAATCGCGTCGACGATCGACATCGGCGTTCTCGTCTGCGACGCTTTGAACATTGGTGTCATCGTTATTCTTCTCTTCGTAGTCTTCATCGCCGTCGTCTTTGTCGCAGTCGCAACATATCGGAAATTTTTCTCGGAGCGCGGCTGTCGCGCACGCGAATGAAAAAGAAAGAGAGAGGGAAAGAGATAGGGAGAAAGAAAGAGAAAGAGAGAGAGAGAAAGCGTCCTGGCCTGTCGTCCGTGGACGACATATACGTGCGTCGCACGTCACTGAACGCGAATTGATTTTCTCCACGGAATAGCCTAGCGCCCTGCGACCACCGTCGACGATACGTTACATCGCAACTTCCTGCGAGAAGGAACTCTCCTCCGAAAGAGACAGGTCTCGCAGCATTCCAAGTCTCATCCGTGGACAAGACGATCGGTATGCGGCGACGCGTGTACCACTTTGACAGACGACTCCGATAATCAGCTGTCATGATTCCGCTCTCTCTTTTCTTCTCTCTCTCTCTCTCTCTCTCTCACATTCGTTCGCTCACTCATTCGTTCACTCATTCTACTTGTCAATCGAGGACGCGCGGAGCGAGCCCGAGACCTCAGGCTCCATCATCGATCGCCGATGCGTCGTTTCCACCGCGTTAATTCGCACCCCCCCAAGTCTTCCCTATCATCGAGAGGGATGCCGCGGTCGAGTTGTCTTTTCCCTGATTCGCAGCATCCCGCCCATGTTATTCGCGTGTTACGAAACGATTGGCGGCGTTTCCTCGGAATGTCCCGTCGGTTTCCCCGACAGTCAATCGTCCTTAACAACCTTGAGACGACCCTATCATCAGGTGTGGTCGGAGCGCCTGATGCGATTCCGCAGGGCGGTCGATACCTTCGGACGAAGCCGGTCAACGCGCTTCCTTTCGGATTACGCGATTCCTAAGGCGATTGTCAATTATTCCCTTCTCCTCGTCAGTCGCGTGTTTGGCATCGGGAGTGACACATGCGTTGTACCAATCAACTTTCTATAGATCGTCATTCCTTCGTAAGACTGGTCTCTTCTCATCAAAAATCGAATTGTCCGTGTCGTCATGGGGGGAGGAGAGAAAAGCCCTTTGCCATTTCCCGCATTGTAGAAGCTCCCTTCGCTTCCGCGTCGGCCTGCGGCTGCGCCGGGAATGTCGGTCTTGCCTAATTGTGCGACACGGATGATTCGCGTTTTCCCCCCGCACTCCGATCCTCGACAGACGAGTCGTGCAAAGTCGCATGATGATTAAAATTGTGATGTCCACGCGGATAAAAGATTCGACGGCCCAGATACCGTCGCGATACCTCGCGCGTTAATTAGTCGCTAGTTTCGAAGCTCACTAAATCACAGAGTGACAAACGCAATTTTTCTCTCTCTCTCTCTCTCTCTCTCTCTTGCGAATTCGTCTTATCTGTGCGATCAACC